GTGTTTTCATACACTTTAAGGGAGGTTGTTCCCTTGTTGTAAACTCGAAGGAAGTTCCTTGTTCCTTTGTGAGAAGTCTTGGAGTGCGGTATCTCCGAGCAAAGGTGTTGAGGCTCGTGTGACTCGGGTTCTCAAGTTGTATCGGTTTGTTAAGCACCCTTAAGCTTAACGGAGTTAGTGTAGCTCGAGAGAGTCTCTCGGGGGGCTGGATTAGCCCCACGTTGTGGTGAACCAGGATAAAATTCGGTGTGCTCCTTCCTTATGCTCTTTACTTTAACGCTCTCGTTTTTAATTTCCTGCGATTTTGTTTTAAACGCTATTCACCCCCCTCTAGCGTTGGGCCTTTATTCTAACAAGTTGTGACAACAGGAATGGAGGCAGCACATGCTAACACGATAGAAGGAGGTTGAGGAGCTACCAATCCAAATCTTTCGTCCCTCACAACTAATCAATGGAACGCTTTTATGGGACTTCTAAACGAAAAAGATTTAGGAATGGAGAATAAATTTTCAGGTTTGCCTAACACCTCTTGGATTATTGATAACGGTGCTAGTCAATATATGACCGACAATGAGAGGTGTTTTGAATATTTAAAGCAATAAAGCCTTGTTCTGTTGTTTTACCCAATGGCGATTGTGTTGTAGCCAAACAAAGAGGGAGTGTAGTCTTGAATAATTTGATAACCATAGAAAATGTTTTGCTAGTTCCTCAACTTAAATTCATTGTGATTTATGGGGTGGTTATTGTACTCTTTCTCGTACTCGAGCAAAATATTTCTTAATAATTGTTGATGATTTTTCCCAAGTAGTATGGGTGTATTTATTAAATCACAAATATGAAGCACTTACTATTCTTCCTAATTTCTTTCCTCTGATTGAGCATCAATTCAATAAACAAGTCAAGGCTATGCATAGTGACAATGGTATAGAATTCACTTGCTTAAAACCCTTTTTTGAAAATCATGGCATAATTTTGAATCCTCTTGTGTTGGAACCACTCAACAGAATGTGAAGTCGGGTGAAAACACCGTCAAATCCTCAACATTGCTAGAGCACTCCGTTTTCAAGCCAATCTTCCTCTCAAATTCTGGGGTGACTGTATACTAACCGCCACTTACCTCATCAACTGCACACCTTCTAACTTTCATAACGGCAAGACACCATATTCAGTGCTATTTGGAAAAATACCCTCATACAACCATATGTGAGTATTTGGGAGTCTTGCGTATGCTCACAATCAATCCCACAATGGAGACAAATTTGCTAGTCGATCTCTTCGTTGTGTATTTCTTAGTTATCCGTTTCGACAAAAAGGCTGCGTCTTCTCGATTTAGACACCAATAAGATTTTTGCAAGTCATGATGTCAAATTCTTTGAAAGAAAATTACTTTCCCTTCATTTTTCATAACACAACCAGTCTTTTTGAACCTGATCCCATCGTTGATTTGTGCGATGAAGAAATATCCACCTCAACCTCAAATTCACCCTAGACGGTTGTAAAACTAGAGTGTTCTCCCAGGCGGTCGCTGCCCTCGATCATTCTCTAGCCTCCGGTCGAACGTACTCCACTACACTCCCTGAATCCTTCCAGGCAGTCGAATCGAACGGCCGAACCATAGAAGCGGTCAACCGCCCTTCTCCCATTGACAACCAAACTCTTTTAACCCAAGAACCTTTGCTCCGAAGTGAAATAGAACATCGTCCTCCATCACGGCTTCGTGACTTTGTCACTCACACCATTTTAAGTTCCTCTCTCAATTCACCCAAATCGTTGTATTCTTCAGGTACAACACACTGTATTACAAATTTTATAAACGCTCACAGTTTCTGTGCTTCCCATAGATGTTTTTTGGAATCTATAAGTGCAGATGTTGAGCCTACATTCTTTCCTAAGGCGGTCAAAAACCCACTGTGGGTATAAGCTATGATGGAGGAAATCCAGGCGTTGGAAGCTAATGGAACTTGGTCTCTTGTTCCCCTACCTCCCGGTAGGAAAACAATAGGATCCAAATGGGTCTATAAAATCAAGCATAAATTTGATGGGAGCATTGAGCTTACAAGGGTCGATTGGTGGTCCTAGGAAATCGGCAGAAAGAAGGAATTGATTTCAAAAAACTTTTGCTCTTACGGCCAAACTAGTTACCATCCAAACTCCTTTTGTGATTGTTGCTGCCCGCAACTCGTATATACACCAAATGGACGTTCATAATTCGTTCTTACATGGTGATCTGCGGGATGAAATTTACATGACTCTTCCCCCAGTTTTTCTTCCCGGGGAAATGGATTGGTTTGTCGTCTTCATAAATATCTCTACGGTCTTCTTCAAGCCCCACGATGTTGGTTTGCTAAACTCACCTCTTCTTTGAAGAACTTTGGGTTTTAGCAATCCAAGAATGATTATTCTTTGTTTACTTATACGCATGGTTCCATTGAGCTTCGTGTACTGGTCTATGTGGATGATCTTGTTATTATAGGTAATGATGAGATTTTATTGGTCGATTTAAAAAATATCTCTCAGATTGCTTCTATATATGAACAACCTTGGCTTACTGAAGTACTTTCAAGGTAATGAGGTTGCCTAGAATTCCAAAGGGATATTTTTATGTCAATAAAAAAATGATCTTGATATTCTTTGTGAGACTGGCTTTCTAGGTTCACGTCCGACTACCACTCCTCTTCCTCAAAATCATCACTTGGCATTGGCAAATTGTCCACCGCTACCTGATTCGGCGCGTTATCGCCGGCTAGTTGGCTGCTTAATCTACCTCACTATTAGTCACCCTGATCTAGCCTACGTTGTCCATGTGTTGTCTCAATGTATAGGGGAACCTCGACGGGAACATTGTGATGATGCGACCCAAGTTCAGCGCTACATCAAGGCCGGTCCTGGATAGGAATTGTTTCTCCGTGGTACATCAAGTTCAGCCCTACTCTCACTCTGATTGGGCTGTTGGTGTATGGAATCATAACCCAAAAAGAAAAATATTGATTTTCTTACCTTATTCATTGTAATTCCTATTGCAATACGAACAGAGTTATGGTTGGTGTAGAATTATGGTAGTTTACTTATTTGTTTGCTTTCTTCTCCTATATAAAGGGGATTAATCCTTTGTATTCTCCAAGCCAATTCAATATACATAATATTTTCTCTTATTATTTTCTTCATTTTATAGATATTTTGATATAGTTTTTGAATATGTAATTTTTATTTTTAATTCCACACTATTTTTCATATAAAACTATTCAAAAATAATATCAGTCAAACATCATAATGCACAATAAGAAGATAAATTCTATACGGATGGAGTGATTCATAACTTGTATTGCGTGTCAAGACTAAGGCCCTAATCTTTTGAGTTAGAAAATTTAACTTCCAACTCCTTCCAGTTCCTTCCAATTCCTTCAAGTTTCTTCCAACAACAACTTTAAAAGGTATTAATATAAAATAACATTATATATCCAAATTTAAAACATACCACTTTAAACACGGACAATGATGAATTCCTTTTATCCAAAATGAGAGTTTCCTTACATATTTATTGGGATGATCATTTAAATTGAGTGATTTTTTAATACTTAAATTCTTCCAACATTTTCCAAGTCCTTCCAGTTTTTTCTAACTTCTTCAAGTTTCTTCCAACTCCTTCCAACTTCTTCCAACATCGAACTCTAAAATTCCAACTCAAAAGAACAGGGCCTAAGGCCATGTTCTCTTCAACTTAGTTCTGCTACTTATTTTTATTCTTATTATAATCAGATCAGATCAAATCTGTTCAAATTAGATCAAATTAGTTTAGATCAAATTGGATCCATTCATATTAAATCAGATCTATGCAGATCAAAAAATTTAAAAAAAATAATATTAAAAAAATATTAATAATAATTACAAAAAGAAGAGTAAAAATTATTATTATCATTATTACTAAATGATAATAATATAATAATAGTACATAATTTATTATCATCATACTTAATTACAACACTAGTAGTAATTAAGAATAATAATGATTAAAGTAATAATAATTTTTATTATTAAAATAATAATGATTAAAATAATAACAATAGTAATTATTATTATTATTATTATTAAAAATATTTAATATTAAAAATAATTAATAATAATTTATCATCATCATACTTAATAATAACTGAAATAGTAATTAATAAAAATAATGATTAAAATAATAATAATCATTATTATTAACTATTATTAATTAATAATAACGATAATAAAATTATTAATAATATTTATTTGTAGATTAATAATAATAATAATTTTAATTAATAATGATAATAGAATTTAATAATTATTATTATTTTCATTATAATAATAATGATAATGATAAATATAAATTTTAAACTAATAACGATAAAAAAAATTATAATTAATAATTACAATTATAATTATTAATAATAAAAATCCATTTATATCTGATCAAATTCATTCCAATCAGACCAGCCTTAAAAAATTCAGTTAAGTTAGATCAGATCAGCCGAAGAGAATGCACCCTAAAAGGCCACCGTTTTAAAATAATTTGATTTTAAATCATTTTTTATCTTTGAAAATTTGCAACAACAAAAGACTAATGGAGTGTTGTAGAATTTTCTTTAACAACCTAGTGGCAGAATGCAGAAAAATAAAAAATATATATAATGTGAAGAATGAAATCAGATATATTTAATCCCACCAGATATCCGACCTAAGTGATAAGATTTGATAAATAATAAAAATGGATGACTTTTAAAAAGAAGCTTGAGAAGATGATGAACGGTAGCCACCACCAGCATTTCCTGTAAATCTTTTTGTTCGGGTTGGGCTACTGCCTGAGTTTTGAATATTTGTGCATAAATGGATCATCATCCAATTAAAACTCTCTTGAAAATTTGCACTCCGCCAGCCAATTCATTTTGTTTGGTTCCCTAGTAGAGCTCTTCCTAATTACTTGGTTGCTGCCACTGTTTACCATTAGTTGACACACCAAATTTCCTTTTTGTGAAGAACAATTATTAAATTTTTAAACTGAGCCAAGTATCTTTGAGTGAGTAAAAACTATGGCATCAAAATTCGGTCCGGAATTTCTTACTCGTGCATATCAGGTATTTCAATCCTTCTATATCTAGATCTTTTGTTCTAAGTCGTGCGGCGGGTACTTGATTTGTGCAAATTTAAAGTACTCTAAAAAAGTGCATAGAATCCAATTGGTTCTCTCATAGGAACATTAATTGTCACTGAAATTGTTTCTTATCTTTGCTCTTAGTGATTGTTTTGTGAATATGGCGGCCATTATTACGACGATGAACTTTGCATTGGACAAACTGCTTGGTGTGATGGAAAATGCTCTATATGGAAATTTTTAATTTCATGAAGCAATATGTGTAGCTTATGATCATGTTGATGAAAATTATGAAAAACACCACTTGATTCTTCAGATGGCGGGTCAATCAAATTATGATTCTGATTTATATGCATTTGATATCGAACTCTCTTGTTCATAGGATTTGGTTCGTGGTCCGCCACTTCTATTGAGTCAAGTTCGTTCAGAGTTGCACGGTTTCAAAACAAAAATGATGAACACTGTAAAGAATTTAATAGGGACTCCATTTTCTCCACCTACACTGTTAGCCTTGGTTTGCTAAGCCTCATGTTTTGATGTTAACAAACAATATAAGAGCTTAACGTTTGTTTAAGTGTTTCAGGAAAACAAGAATCCATTAAAATTCGGTACTCAAGAATGAAGTCGAAACACTAAACTAGCGTAGAATATAGGTAGAAACCAATGTAAGGATATGACTTTATATACCTATATTCACAAGCTCAAAAGCACTCACAAAATATGTTTAAAACCATCACATAAACATTTTCAAATATCTAAAAGGTTTTAAACTCAAACACGAAGGATTAAGGGAATTTTGGAAAAATCAGAACAGAGTCACGGTACCC